AAAAAAAAAAATAAATAAACCTTGACTCCTACAAAAATTGGTTACATGTCTATGGATTGTGAACCTAAAGGTGAAAAGTAAAGCAGTATCTAGAAGGTAGTAAAAAATAATGCATTCACAACTGTAAGGAAAAGAGTGATAAACAGAACTTAAAATAAGGAACTTCTCTTCAATACAAGGCACTATTAAGAGAGAATAAAAGGTAAACCATGGAGAGATTTTTCTTTTAAAAATGTATAAAGAGAACTATAGATCAAGAAGAAGAAAAAGTTAATTAGGCAAAAGGCATGAAAAAACACTTTATAGATAGCTATAAACCTTTGCAAAAATGCTCAAAATCAAATGATCAGTCATCAAGAAAATGCCCTGTACTCACTGTGCTCACCATCATGACTAAACAAAGAACACAAAAACAAACACTGATAATAACAAGTCATTAAAGTAATGAAGACATAGAGCAAATGAACTTCCATTCACTACTGTAGGAATGAACACTGACACAATCACTTTGGGAAATGGTGGCAGGATCTATGATAAACTGTGGTGTGATCCAGCAGTTCTACCCCAGGTGTCTATACCTCCTTCAAATTAATACCTAAGTGCTATGTTTAAGAATGTTCATAGCAGCTTAATTTCATAACAGCCCCAAACTGGAAAAGTCCCAAATGTCTCTTACCACCAGTAGAATGGATAAACTATATATATGCAACAGAGTATTACACAGCCACATAAAAGAATAAACTACAGCTATAGGCATAAGATTTGAGCAAAAAGGAGCCAACTACATGAATTTATATGTAGTTCAAAAACAGGCAAGACTATTCTTAGGCATAACACCAAAAGCACAAGCAAAAAAGGAAAAATAAATAAGCAGTACTCCATCCAAATTTAAAATCACTGGGCTTCAAAGAACACCACCATCGAAGTGAAGATAACCCACAGGAGAAAAAATGTGCAAATCCTGTATCTGGTAGGTCATAAGATATCTGTACTGAGCTACATAAAACACTCTAATACCTCAACAACAAAAAGACAATGCCACTGAAAAATGGGAAATTTTAAAAATATATTTTTCCAAAGAAGATATACAAATGACCAAAAATCTCTATAGAAAGATGCTTAACATCATTAGCCATTTGGAAAATGCAAATCAAAACCAGAAGAGCGCTTCACATGCAGAAGGATGACCATAATCCAAAAGACTAACAGGAGCAAGTGTTGGTGAGAATGTGGATCACATAAATCACATGCTGCTAGTGGGAATGCAACAGGTGTTACTTGCTTTACACACCAGATCGGCAGTTCATCAGAAAGTTCAAAGTGAGCTTACCTATGACCCATTAATCTACTCCCAGGTTTACACTCAAAAGAAATGAAAACATCCAAATACACAATAACCAGTAAACAGACGTTCATAGCAACATATTCACAACAGCCAAATAGTGGAAACAACCCAAATGTTCACCAACTAATGAATAAGTAAGACGCAGGCTATGCATACAGTGATTATTCAGCTGGAAAAAGGAATGAGTGCCTGATACAAGCTATGAAACGGGTGAACCTCACAAACAAGATGCCCCATGAGACAGCTACCAAAGACCACATTCCGCACTTTTCCATTCACTTGAAATGACCAGAATACGTGGGTCTACAGAGTGAGAGAGGAGATTAGTAGTTACCTGTCCTGGGGGAGGGAGGGCTGGGGAAAGAAATCTGGCAGACTGCTAATGGGTTTGGGGTTTCTTTTTGGGGTGATGAAACTTTTGGAATTGTAGGGGTCAGCCGCACAGCTCTAAATACACTAAAAAACATTAAACTATATACTTTAAATCATTAATTTTGTGGTACTGTACATATCTCAACAAAGCTGTTAAAAATTTAAAAGACTAGGGGCGCCTGGGTGGCTCAGTTGGTTAATAGTCCAACTCCTGATTTTGGTTCAGGTCATGATCTCACAGTTGTGAGACCGAGCCCTGCATGGGGCTCCATGCTGGGCCTGCAGCCAACTTAAGATTCTCTCTCTCCCTCTCCCTTTGCCCCTCCCCCATTGGCCTGCACACCCACGTGCATGCTCTCTCTCAAAAAAGTAAGACTTAACTCTTATGAAGATATATATCAGAGTCATATTTGGGGTGGAAAAACGACTGGGAAGGGACAGAAGGCAAGTTCCCTGAGTGGAAGTAATGTTCTATACTTTGTTCTGGGTAGCCACAGGAATAAATTCACTTAGTAAAAATTCATTAAGCCTTGTATCTAAGAGATGAGAACATTACTATATGTATGTTACAATTAAAATTTAAAAATATTTTCCAAAAGAGTCTTATAAACTAAATTAGGGATTATTTACTTCTATTCTAGAAATTAAAAACCTAAGGAAATTGAGAGGTTAAAATGATTTTCTAAAGGTCATATTCTAAGTTAATGACAGAATTAAAGGTTGACTCCTGTTTGTAAACAATGTATATACATAACAGTCAACCCCCCCCAACTCCAAACAGCTACTTTTATCACACTATCATGTTTACTTCCTCCTGAACATTAAAAATATAAAATGATCTTCATTATGTTATTTTATTACTGTCTTTCCTCAATAAAACATAAGTTCCATGAAAGCAGGGATCTTATCTGTTCAGTACTCTATCCCCAATACCTACAATAGTGCCTAGTACACACTAAGTGCTTCAGTGTGTCTAGTGCACACTTAAGTATTCAGAATGAAATCACTCTACTTTTTTCTTGTGGTTTGTCTTTTCAAAGTAGGATTTCACTTTGATATTTGCTGGAACAGTAACAATGCAAATCTGGCTCTATTATATCTCAAATACAGTCACTAATATATCTTCAGAGATGGTTGAAAAAGTGATAAAGAGGGGTACTTGAGTAGCTTAGTTGGTTAAGCGTCTCACTCTTGGTTTCAGTTCAGGTCATGATGTCATAGTTTTATGAGATCCATGTCCAGCTCTGTGCTAAAAGTGCAGAGCCTGCTTGGGATTCTCTCTCCCTCTCTCTGCCCCTGCTCCACTCACACTGTCTCTCAAAATAAATAAACTTAAAAAAAAATAATTTAACAGCGATGAATTGCGGAAACGTAAATGGTAGAATGGTTCTGTACAATGATTTATGACTCATTTCAAATAACAACAACTGTAATAAAAAGTTTTTTTAAATACAACAACAATAACAAAGTATAGAAAAAGTTTCTTCTCCAACAAAAAATTTTAGGCTTATCTACTAAATGCTATTACTTAGATATGGCCAGAGTTACTGTATTTGAGTGAGAGTTTAGCATAAATTACAAGACAATCATGTAGATTTTAGGACAGCCTGGGAAAGCTTTATTATTAGGAAAAACCAAAACCAAGAAACAATCACACATCCTTTGCCATAAGATGACTGATCGGAAACTGTCTTGACAGGGATACTCTACATTCTTTCTTAGGTTCTATCTTCCTTAGATTCTTTAGCGCTTCTGGACTTGAGTAGTTTTCTGTGTGTAAATCATTAACATTTTTATTATGCAACCTAAATAAATGAAATTGAAAGATTTAATAGCTATTCTCTCAGAAAAAGATATATGTAAATTAAAAAGAGCTATCAATCTTTTTTAAAAAAATCACACCAGTATCATAGATTTAAGCTTTTTTTTTTTTTTTTTTTTTAAACACACATTCCATTTGACAGCATTCTTCCTCTACAAGTACTGCTTCTAGTCTTCCACGGCACCTGGCACACATGGCCTCACTTTACTTGTATTTTTAAGACTGTATCTTATTTTTGCCAACCACACACACATGGCCCCACGCGCACTAGCTCTCTGTATTCCCAGAAGGCAGCACAAAGTAGGTACTTCATAAATGTCCACTTTAATCAACAAAAAAGTCACCTGGAGTGGTATAAACAGTGGTATAGACAATTGGAATTAAGAAAACAGGTTCTACTCTTGCGTTGTGGCCTGCAAACAAGTGTATTTAATTTAATCTTTGTACTAAGGCATTTTCTAGTGCTTAGAAGTGAGGTTTCTAATGAGTCAGAATAAAGTCCAGGATTTTTCTATTTCCTCTCTTACAATTATTATTTCCAATCCTCTTGGAATCAGAATGATCAACCAGTTTGTGGGTTTACAGCAGTCTCTGGGGCTTCGTCCTGTAGTTCCCCACTTGCAAATTCTCCAGACCTTCCCCCACATGGGATGTAAGGAATGAGAGTAACCTTCAATAAGGTTATTATTCTATTTAGAAAGATAGAACTAAAAGCTCATTCTACCAGTTGTCAGAAAAGTAGGTATTAATTCCAGTTAATAGTATATATTTCATACATTTATAACCCTCACCAAATCCCGCCGCTTATGAAGAAAAACATCTTATTTTGCTCAATACCTTTATTATTCTGTTCTTCCTACTATTTGTTGTTTGAAAGTAGCTTATCCTAGAGTTATGGAATATAAACCACTCTCTAAATCCAATTTTTTTTTCTATACACTGTAGCATTTTGGTTACATCCTGCATAGGAAGTAGTTCATCCCAAGGTGTTACCAAAAACAAACACTCCTATGTGTTGTGTATTTAATATACTAAGATGAAATTTAGAGATGGATTTCCAAAGGAGTTTATTACAGTCAGAATAGCTTAAAACGCCTTAAGTTACTTAGCTGCCTTAAAATACTGAAATATCCATAAACCATCAAATAAAATGACTTCAGTTTAAATGCTAGCAAGTGTTTGTTTACAGAACGCTGAACAGTAAGTGGAAAAAATTAATATATACACTTATTTGCAACATATAATAAGGGTACACATGAAAACAGCTCCGTGTTTAAGTGAATAAAAGAGAAAGAACACAGGAACATTCTATGTGCCTCAGTTAAACATGTCTAGGATATGATTCCTATATGTATTAATCTGACAACTAAGTGGAATTATCCTACAAGACAAATAAGATTTAACAGAGTGAGGCACTACTACATCTGACAGAAGAATCCAAAGTCAAACAGAAGCTCCTACCTTTCTGGGCCTTCAGTGTCTGTTCTTCGATTTGTCGCAGACGCTCCATTAGCTCCTCCTTTTCACGTTCTATCCTCTCTTTTTCCTTTTCTGCTATCTCCCTTTTCTTCTTCTCATTCTCTAATTGTGCCCTTCGGAGGAATTAGAATTGCTTTGTTACAAATTAATACATAGAAATATTTACGTGAAACCCAAGTAATGTGAGTCAACCAGGAAAAAACTATACATATTTTAAGAGTCTTCGTTATATTCAGCTGGGCTCAAAAAACCATCCAGGTGAAAACACAGGACTGCCCTGTTACATGCGCGCGCACATACACACACACACGGCATTACAAGGCATTCTTTTTGTGAGGTCACAGAAAACGTAGTATAGGGCTGCTTAAAAAGATATTAACAATTTAACTATTGTGGAAAGATTTTCAAAGGACAAATTTACAGAAGTATTAAGAAAGTAAAACTGTCAAACACATCCCTGTATACAAACCATGTTTCTACTGTAGACTTGGATGGGGGGGGACATTAGGAGAATTATCACTTGCATATTTGGTGAATTCTGACGATAAATTACAGGTCAGGTCAGCACAAAGGGAGTTAACTGCACACTTTCCTTGAGAGAAATAAGGCTTAAAAGGGAGTATACAAGGTTATTTTACATTAAACAGTGTAAGAAAAATAACCTGGGAGCACAAGAATTTTCAATGCTTTTTTAAAAATTTATTTGAGAAAAAGAGAGAGAGAGCAAGCGAGCGAGCAGGGGAGGGTCAGAGAGAGAGGGAGACACAGAATCTGAAGCAGGCTCCAGGCTCCGAGCTGGCAGCACAGAACAGCACAGCCCTGCATCCCGGTTCAGTGTGGACCCTGCTTAGGATCTTCTCCCTCCCTCCCCCCGCCCATCTGTCCCCTTCCAAGCCAGTACTCACTAAAATTTTTAAAAAATTATGATTTCATCCCTGATTCTTATCTGAGTACAGTTAAATTTCCAAAAAAACCATCACTGCCATCTGGTGTCAGTTTTGAATTTTAGGTACAACATCTCAATTTCCAATCTCTGATAAAGTCAGCAAAGTTTTATTATCAAAGCTTTTTTCCCTTACTCTGTAAACCTAAACTTAAAAATTCCTACAGCTCCTAGCTATTTATCTGCCTCACCACAGGAAGAGGCTCCAGCTATGGGCAAACAGGTAGAGTTATAACAAGTCAGCAAGAAGTAAGACAGACAGCTAATGGTGACCTGGTACACCAGGCCAAAACCTCAAGTTCAAGGGTGCCCCCCTCTAACTCTAAGCCTAATTCTAACTGTCAAGCCTTAGTAAAGTTCCATTTTCCCATAAAACCTCTTGTGATTAAGTGCCATAAATGTAAGTTCTTATTCAGAGTTTAGGTTTGGAAACACTAATTTGACAAAGTTGTTCTAGTTTAAGAGCGTAAATAACATTAATAAACTCTCAATTCTCTGTACTAACATGGAGAAAGTCAAATATTTTAGAATACCTTACTTTTTTAAAGATTATCAGATGAACCCAATTACATTTTCCTTAAGTAAAGGTTAAAAGCTAATTTATATTCAGCTTCAATCAAGATTATGCATTAATTAATAATATTAAGCATTATACTACTTACTAAGCACCAAGTATTTGACTAAATGTCTGTATACCACTGTCATTGTTTCTCACAAAAATTGTGCATCCTTAAAGCTGGGTCACAGTGACACAGGCAGCCAGCCATGACACAGAATACCACACAGCTAAGCTACAGCTGGTATGTGAGTATCTGACTCTAAATTGTCTCCATTTTAAAAAAAATGTTTATTTACTTATTTGGAGGGGCAGAGAGAGAGGAAGACAGAGATTCCCAAGCAGGCTCCAGGTCATCCATGCTGAGCTGGACATGGAGCTTGATCCCACTAACCATGAGATCATGACCTGAGCCAAAATCAAGAGTCAGATGTTTAACCGAATGAGCTATCCAGGTGCCCTTAAAATGTCTCCATTTTTAAATTTGGTAACGATTTTAGCCATACAAAAAACTGTTCAGAAATTGGAGTGAATTACCATTCAATTTGGATGTAGAGAACTTAAGAGTACAGATTACAGAGCCCCATAACCCACAGTATAGAACTTCATTTTCGCTGCCAGAAATCCAGTTGTGGGAGTTCAGGTGAGAGAATATGGCCACGGAGACCACAGTACTGAAGGGAAAGGGGCTGCCCTCGCTGCCCCTTCCCAACTCCAGCTCTAGCCTGAGACTCCAGTAGCACAGGCAGCATGTGCTGCGCACCTCCCGCCCCGTGCCCTCCCCGCCCGGCATCTGCTCACTAATCTGCCAGTGAGCCTGACCTGAACTGTTTCCATATGTGCAGTTGTCTCTTCCTCTTTCTGATCTGGAAAGCAGAGACCAGAGGAAGCCTCGGCATGCCATTTCTGAAAGACCTGCCAGATCCCTGTGTGCTAGACTAATATAAAACCTCCTCCAGGCATTCAAATGAGTTAACCAGTGACTGAATTCCTATAGGGTACGAGGCAGTCAGTAAATGTTTTTTAATGAAAGGTAGTAAAATTTATCTGAGACAGAAACCATGGCATGGTTCCTGTGTGAGAAAAGAAACTTCAAGTTTTCCACTTTCACCTGGGCTTTAGAGTAACTCAAATACAGCAACATCACCAAATGGTATTTATTAATCATACTACGCATCCTAGAAGCCATCCAGCACTCTTCTCTATGTGAGAGAAATAAAGGATCAATGGACCTAAATATATCTGAGAATGTAAATAGTATATCAACGTTACAGAGAAGCAGAACAGAGGACATTTTATGGAGTAATGGGTATGAGGTGTGAATTTTTTTTTTTTTTTTTAAACTTATGACAGGAGATCTTAGACATAGACCAGGAAGGGAAGGGGAGTGAGAAATAAAGAGAAGGTAGAGGTAAGGGTGGAAATGCGTAGAAGGAAGGAAGGAAAAAAGGGAAAAAAACCCTGTCTTTGTGAGAGAAATGGAAAGGCTAAGATGGGTATGAATATATAGAAAGTAAAACTCAATAAAGAACTACTTTAGGGGCACCTGGGTGACTAAGTCGATTAAGCGTCCGACTTCGGCTCAGGTCATGATCTCACAGTGCGCGGGTTCGAGCCCCACGTCGGGCTCTGTGCTGACAGCTCAGAGCCTGGAGCCTGCTTCAGATTCTGTGTCTCCCTCTCTCTCTGACCCTCCCCTGCTCTTGCTATCTCTCTCTCTCTCTCAGAAATAAATAAAACATTAAAAAAAACTAAAAAAAAAAAAAAAGAACTACTTTAAAAAGCATGTTAAGACTAGAACCACAGTGTGATCCTAAGCCGCATGAGAGCAGTGAAAAATGATAGAGCACAGTCAATCCAACCGAGTATCTTTTTTTTTTTTTAAATATATTTTTATTTATTTCTAGGAGAGAGAGAGAGAGACAGCGTGAGCAGGAGAGGGTCAGAGAGAGAGGGAGACACAGACTCTGAAATAGGCTCCAGGCTCTGAGCTGGCAGTCAGCACAGAGCCCGACGCGGGGCTCAAACCCACGAACCGCGAGATCATGACCTAAGCGAAAGTCGGACGCTTAACCGACTAAGCCACCCAGGCGCCCCTCAACCGAGTTTCTTTAATGATGGGTCAAGAATTACTGGCAAGGGGCATGCCTCTAAGAAGATGTCTGGCGATGCAGTAGACTTGTCTAAGGCAGACAACCTGAGGAGAGCTATCTAAATTACATGGAACATTTAAGAAAAAAACAAAACAAAACATCATTAAACACAAACACTAAATGGTAAGTAGTAAAATTTTATCTAGCAGAGGACCTACTTAATTCTTATATTCAAATCACATTATTTCCAATACATTTGAAATCTGTAAGTTACTAGTGTTATTCTGTATAGTGACTTTTCATCTGAGTTCAATGGTGTCACTGACAGGGCTTTAAAGCACAATTTTTAGCAATTCTTACCCTGAAAAATTTAGAAATACAACTCCAAGTGAAACAAACATGAAAAATTCCAAACTACTATGGTACCCAAACTAGTGTTAGAGAAAATCAAGTATGTTAAAAAAAAAAAAAAAAAAAAAAAAAAAAGCCCATCTGTGAAATTATGGGAAGCTACCTCCTCAGAAATATCTGACAAATATTTCTCACTCGAAAAGTATACACACTCATTTCAAAAGAGGATAACAAGAATACTCATTCAATTTTAATACAACGGAAACAATGCAAAAATGTAAGCTCAGAGAATGTTAAAGAAACTGAGCGTTCTTAAATTTTAGCTCATGAATCGCAGGTTTAAACTCCATACCTTTCCAACTGCTTCTGATGTTTCTCCTCCCTTGCCTGAGCCTTCATCTGCTGCACTTCAATAGTATCAGGCTTCCTTCTTCGCATGTAGAGTTCGTGGTTTCCCATACATAAAGCCAAAATCCGCTTGTTGATTCTCAGACGAGGTGCATAAAAAACAAAATCCTAAACATAAAGTTTCTAAATTTAAAATCTTCCTGAGGATAGTGTCTCTCACAATCATCTGCACTAAATTTTAATATGTGGTATGAATTCTAATGTCATGTTATCCACAGTTTAGAAATCATAAAATGTCCTACTTCCTAGTGAGTATGCCATATTTGCACCGAATGGTGAAGGCTCCCAGCTGCTTCTTAGGGATGAGGACTGTTAACAAACATCACCTACCTTATAGATGAAACTCAGTTAAAATAAAACTCTAATATTTATGTTATAAAAAAGACTAACACCTTTTATTTTTAATAGCATTCATTATTTTATCACTAGGAAAGTTCAACTATGGAAAGAAAATGTTTCTCAGGAGCAAGTCAATAAATGATGAACAATGCCACTCTTCAAATGATACTGCAGCAAAGTGGCAGAAATGAATCAAGAGTTAATACAGAAAACATATAAAAGAATTTTACTTACGGGTGCCTTTTTGTCGATTGGCTTTATAACAAATTTTTTGTCATTAAACGAAATATTTCTGATTTCACTCCAGGGAAAACCAATTTTAGGTGTTAACCTTAAAAAATGAGAGCATTCCTTTACTTAAAAGCAGGAAACAAAAGACACAACTCATAACATTTTGGGGCCCATTTAGCTGAATGGCCAGGCTGAAGAGTGCCAGACTCTCAAATGCATTACAGTACTCATACTACTGACATTATCTCCGAAGGGGAAATGTGACCAATTAAGGATTGAAGGATTTTATAATGCATCATGAGCCTCCAAAGTGTCACACTTATTTTCTTAAAATGACCTAGAAAACACTAACAAGCCAGAGTGCAGAACTGAACTTGCTGGGGCTCTGTAGTAGCTGATTTAGATTCAAGCTACTAAAACTATTAAATATATTTATGAAGAGGGAGGAAAAAAAGAAATCTTCATAGCCTTTCATGTGATTATAGACATGTTACTAAATATAAAAAATTTTTTATTTCCTTCCTGTTTACTTTTAAAATGAGTATTTGTGAAAACATTAAAAACACTAATTTCCAGTATCTTTAAATTTTTTTATGTTTATTTATTTTGAGAGAGAGAGAGAGAGAGAAAGCACGAGCAGTGGAGAGGCAGAGAGGGAGAGAGACAGAATTCCAAGCAGGCTCTGCACTGTCAGCACAGAGCCCAATGCAGGGCTTGAACTCACAAACCGTGAGATCATGACCTGAGCCCAAACTCAGATCCAGACGCTTAACTAACTGAGCCACCCAGGTGTCCCTAATTTTTTTAATGATGATTTTTCAGAGAATGCGAGACAAAGCATGAGTGGGGAGGGACACACGGGACACACACGCGCACACACACAATCTCAGAGCAGGCTCCAGGATCTGAGCTATCAGCACAGAGCCCAAGTGGGGCTTGAACTCAGAAACGGTAAGATCATGACTTGAGCCAAAGTCGGATGCTTAACTGACTGAGCCACCCAGTAGTCCTTACTTTCAGTACCTTTAAAGGGATTAACTTTATGGTATGTGAATTCTATCTCCGCAGAAAAACACGTTAGACATTCACATACACCAATGTTCGGATAAGTGGCAGGGCTGGAATTCCAGCTTAAAAAAATTTTGTTTTAATGTTTTATTTATTTTTGAGACAGAAAGAAACAGAGCATTAGAGGGGGAGGGGCAGAGAGACAGAGAGACACAGAATCAGAATCAGGCTCCAGGCTCCAAACTCATAGCACAGAGCCTGACGCGGGGCTCGAACCCACGAATATGAGATCATGACCTGGGCCGAAGTTAGAGGCCCAAATGACTGAGCCACCCAGGCGCCCCTGGAATTCCTAAAACTATGCACCACTTAACCCCATTTTACCACGCCACACACACAGATTTAGGGAACAGATTGGAACAACAATTTTGTTTCTGCTTTTCACATATTTTACTGTTTCAGACTACCCATCAAATTTGTCACTGTTTTCTAGTAACAAGTGTGCAAAATGATTATGATATCCATGCTGGCCAAAAGACATCTTTTTAGTCAGTATTCTGAGAATAGAGCATGAACTTCTACCTATTGATAGTTCTTTTAATTCTTAAGAAGATTGCGAACTGCAGCACAGCACATAATTTTTTTACAGAAGACCTCCTTTATCAATATCCGTGCTTTATACTGCCCTCCAACGGCCATTCAAATGTCAAAGCTACCTGCTTTTAAAAAGAAGGGTGCTGGAAGACATCTATTGTTTTTTTTAACGTTTATTATTTTTTTTTTGAGAGAGAGGACAGAGCACGAGTGGGGGAGGGGCAGAGAGAGAGGGAGTGAGAGAATCTGAAGCAGGCTCTAGGCTCTGAGCTGTCAGCACAGAACACGGCCCAGAGCTCAAATACATGAACAGTGAGCTCATGACCTGAGCTGAAATCAGATGTTTAATTGACTGAGCCATCCAGGCGCCACAAGGAACACAGTAATTTTTAAGGTAATGCTGTACTACATTTACACATTACTTTGAACTATTCTAAAGCAATTTCCTCATGCAATTCTCACAATAATCTTTGACGTCAGACTGGCAGTTACAAGAATTTCAGAGAGTTAGTAACTTGACCAGGGTCACAAAGGCAATTAATAGCAGAACTGTTAAGAACCTAACAAGCTTTTAAAGTCCTCTATTTTGATTTTTAAAAAAATCTTAGAAATACAATAGATTTTAGTTATTTAAAAAAAAATGAACCAGTATAGAGAAGACCAAATTCTCCTTTGTCCATAATCTCAAATCTTAGTCCCTCCCATTCTGAGCTAACCCCCTCTTTCATAGTCCCCATTTTTATCTGTAACCTTATCTATAATGGATACTTTAGTAGAAACTAATTCAATGATTTTTAAAAGAAAGAAAAGGGGAAAAAATCTGGTCCACAGGACTGGTCTGTAAATCCATTTTGCTTTTCAAAATTTTCAAAATATTCTCTTCTGAATGATATAGCCTTTTAACTTGCCTGGTAATATAAATAAAAAATACATATCAGAGTAAAATTATAAAATGCGCTCTTCTAGACTTATTGTTAGAAATGTGTACATTATTAGATATTGGTAATAATGAAACTAGAATTCTAGAACCAACCCAGAATAAAGAGAAATGCCTTAGGAAAAGACATTATTGGCACAGACTTAAAAGCTTATGTGGGGGGCGCCTGGGTGGCTTAGTCGGTTAAGCGTCCGACTTTCGCTTGGATCATGATCTCGCGGTTCGTGGGTTCGAGCCCCGCGTCGGGCTCTGTGCTGACTGCCAGCTCAGAGCCTGGAGCCTGTTTCGGTCTGTGACTCCCTCTCTCTCTGACCCTCCCCTGCTCACGCTGTCTCTCTCTCTCTCTCTCCTAGAAATAAAAAAAAAAAAAAAAAAAGCTTATGTGGTACAGCAAATAAATTAAAGAAAATATAAAGCAACTGTAGCTATCATTCCTAAAGATATTATGAGTCTGATGTATTTTATATTAATATAAAAATTAATGCCTGGTCAATTTCAAAATAAAATTACACTATCCATTATGCTCACTTAATACAGTGATACTCTACTAATGTCCAAAAACATTCAAAACAATTCCTATAAATGTCTTTAAAAAGGTGTTACAGAATACAATAAATCATGCATCTATTAATTTCATTCTCATTGCTCTTGATTTCCTATATATGTGAATTTCAATTTCAATCTATATGCCAAGCATAATATTTAAGAAATTATTCTTCACCTATAAAGGGTGAAGATTTAATTTAATTAATTTACGGGACAGAACTCACAAGAGAGCAAATAAAAGTGAATCACTCCATCTGATAAGTACACTGACAAGCAGAACTCTGAAGATATAAGATGTTGCAAAAATGGAAATATGATATCCAAAAGTCTATGTGTCATTAACTAATCAATTAAGCAGAAAAAAAAAAAAGCAGTAAGAGTAATCAAGTCAAAAAGGAACTTTTACAGAGTATGAAATTAAAGCCATACAGATCACTGATTAATGACTAGTTCACTATGCAGCTAATTTACTCACTTGTCATCATGCTCATAAATATTCAGACCCAGAGCATCAACACCTAGCCACAATTCAGTTCCCTTTTTATTTTTTATTTCAAAATAGTTGACTCCATACATTTCTAGATCTTGTGCAATCTTCAGGTATTCCATCATAGAATCTTCCCTGTTAAAATAAATAAAGTTTATTGTTAATACGCTTAAATAAAGGTAATACCAAACAAATTACAAAAATACTTTGGATTAAAATGTAGTGCTTTATACTTATTCATATAAGTTGAATGATCTTTGGTGGATAATCTGATGTATTAATAAATGTTATGAAATAAAAATACATTGAGGAAAAACACTAAGAAAATAGCCACCCAATTACCTGAGCATTCCTCTGTGTTCTTCATGCCAGTTCTGTATTCTCTCTTCCCACTGTTCTTTTGTCAGCTTGTGTTGTTCCAAAACACTGTAAGAGGGAAAAAAATCTATGAGAATGCCTCTATGGTTCAAAATCAACACTCCTTTAAAAGCCTAGACTCGGGGCACCTGTGTGGCTCAGTAAGCATCCGGCTTTGGCTCGGGTCATGATCTCGCATTCCATAGGTTCGAGCCCCCCACTGGACTCTGTGTTGACAGCTCGGAGCCTGTAGCCTGCTTCGGGTTCTATGTTTCCCTCTCTCTCTTCCCCTCCCCGACTCCCGCTCTATCCCTCTCTATCTCTCGAAAATAAATAAACGTTAAAAAAATTTTTTTTTAAAAATCGACCCATTCAATACCTTAACTGTGATGGCAGCTGTCATAAAAACTCATATTCATGATCAAATTGCACAGAGTACACACACACACCCGCGCATGCGCGTGCACCTGACTGCATGTGAAACTGATGAAATCTGAATCAGGTTGGTAGACTGTATCAGTATCTTGGTTGACAGAGTACTCAACATGAAAGATGTTACCAAAACGCTGCAAAACGCTGGGAGAAGGATACATGGAATCCCTCTATTTTTTACAACTGCATGTGAATCTCGAATTATCTCAACAAAAACGTTTCTAGAATCCTGAAATTATTTTAAAAAACAGATACACACATAGTTTATGGGAACTGAAATGTTTCCAATGAATACAGTATTGGACAAAAAAGAAAAAAAAAGGAAAAGGACTTTCTCATTACTAACAGAAAAATAAGAGAATGGAGTGAAAATCAGAATTCTTAAATTCTTCATATATTCACTTTTCTTGGTGCTAAATTTCATTTTGTTATTTTCTATAGATAATGCTTTACATAAAATTATACATGTGAAAAGTTATACTTTTTACCATTCCATGCTCTCCAAATAACTTTGGAGTTTCTTTTCAAACCTTCCAGTGTTCCTTATGTAAATGTAAGCAAACATATTTTCTACTACTAATATTTTAACACCAAATCAGCAATTTCAACATGCATATAATTTATCTACTCTACACACTACAGATTATTTATTTCTATTCTCTTTGGGTCATATAATGATAATTATACATCTTTCTTTATTGGTGAATCCTCAGATCCTACTTTACTAATAGCAAAAGCTGTGGTGTTAAAATATTATCATTTAACTGTATAAAAAAGTTCTGGGAAACCCAGGAATGTCTGGCAGTGTAAGGAACCTCAGAATGCCATCATCCTTTGCAAAAGTTACTATTTAGAGCGGAGTCCCTAATGAGGTCTCAAACAAACCATTATGTTCTTACAATGCACTGCTCCTTTCTCTGTGTATCCTCTTTCAAGCTCTTGGCTTTTTGAGAGAGGAGTTTTGTCTTCCCCCTTAGAGCATTTAAGTTTCTACATAGTTCTGTGTTTATACTTTCTTTTGCTGCCTTGCCTCCTCTGCTCACCAAGAGGAATGCAATCAGCCTTGAGGGCATCATCAGTGCAGCCAAGTGCTAGGATGGTGATATTAAGTATATCTGAAGGTATGGGTTAAATTGGATGCCATTAAGATTTATGTTCTAGCTTTTTATAACCTACCTTTCAACTATCATTTGTTTGCATTTTGCATAATAAACCTGTACTATTAATCTGTATAAGTTATCTGCAGGTATTCAAAATTTCCTGCCCTTTCTTCTGTCCAGAGAAAGGAGTCCATCTTCATGGCTAATCTGTCTGACTTGGATTTAAATCTGTCTATCTGGGTTTTTAAAGGACTTCTCTCTTCACTGCCTCAGGATCTATACTTCCTCATTTATGACAGGGGACATATTTATTGTCCCCTGCACGTATGTGTGTACGCACACACACGCACATGACATATAGTGATTTGGCAAAGGATCACCACAACCATATTCCTCACCACTATATGCCCAGTACCAGTACTGAAGAGGTACTCAAAACTGTATAGAAAATAAAGGAATTACAACAAATCAGTTCTTTTCCATCTTTTAAAGAACAGGTCTATAAACTCTTGCTTCCATGGTTATTTTTTTTTTTCGGTTTCTTTTTTTTCCATAGACCAACTTCTTTTAAGAACTATCCATATTCACTATCTTTCATTTGCATCTGGCATCCACTGCCCCTAGTGCCCCACAGTCCAGCTGCGACCACAACAACATGCTGAAGCTGCTTCCACTAAGGTTACTCCCAATATCCTTATTGCTAAACCCAATAGACACCTGAGTTGTCCTATTATACTCGATCTGTTTGTACTATATGACTGCTAACCAGTCCTTCCTTAAAGCTTCCTTATACCTTGGCTTCCATAATTAACATTCCTCTGCTATTATTATTCTGTACTCTCTGGACATATTCTCTCAACTATGCTTTAAAGGAGCCTCTTCCCCTGTACTTAAAAATTAAGTTCTAACAAGATCTGTCTTAGGCCTGTTGCTCATTTTAGATGTACTGTTAAGTTCATCTCCTTCATTCCCATGGGATAATTATCTATTTGCTGACTATTACTAAAACCATATCAGACTGTGTTCACATTACTCTCCAATATCCAGATCCACATCTAGAAATGAATACTAACTAACTCCCATGGTTATACTGGTTATGTTTCAAACTCGGCAGATTCAAAACTGAAATCTTCCTCAAAAACATACTGCTTCTCCCCATACCTTGGCAAAACGGTATTACTAACTACCCAGATGCCTGAACCAGAAAACTGGCACATAAAAGTTACGTATATCTAGTTCTTTTCAAAGGAGAGAGATACTATCTGGTGGATGTGACCATCCGCGTCAAGAGAAAGCTAAACTGTACTGTGGGAGAACAGACTGCTTATCCAGGTTTTTCTATACAAGAACTAAAAGCATCCATCAAAGTCATCAAATTGTGTTTGATTTAGGATGACCAAAAAACCTGATTACTAATTCCCCCACTTAGGTACTTAGTGAGAAAAAGTGTGCTATACCAGACACAGAATTAAGTTCATTACTATAAAGGTATTTTCTCCATTCTAAATATAAAAACTAGTATTCTGATTTTATTTTTTTAAAGGAAACTATTTGTTTGTTTGTTTACTTATTTATTTAGTGTGGGAGCATAAGTGAGTCAGGGGCAGAGAGAGAGAGAATCCCAGGAAGGAGGTTAGGGGGTGAGAGAGAGAGAAGCGGGGTTCACCCGAGGCAGGGCTCATGTTTTACCCAAAGTGGGGCTCGTGTTCACCCAAAGTGAGGCTCAAGTTCACCCAACATGGGACTTGAACTCAAGAAACATGAGATAATGACATGAGCGGAAGTCAGATGTTTAATGACTGAGCCACCCAGGTACCCAGTATTCTGACTTTATGAGTAAGACTCTTTTAAGCTCAGATAGCTTGAAATAGTCCTCCAAACATTACCAACCTCAAGAACACCTGACTGTCTCTAACTTCAAAATTGTGGACCAAATCTTGAAGGGTATGTGCTATTATCCTCTTTTTAAATACAGTTGGCTACAGCACACATGCATTTAAAATAAAAAAAAATTAAATTGTGCTTGAATGTGATTCCCATGTTTAAAATATTATAAAAAATCATATGACTACTAAATGGAAGTCAATTACATCATCTTGTACTCAACTAAAGAGCAATCTAATCTAACATTAAAAGAACAACCATCGGGGCATGGGTGACACAGTTAAATGTCCAACTCTTGACTTCGGCTCAGGTCATGATCTCACAGTTCGTGGGTTCAAGCCCCTGCACTGGGCTCTGCACTGACAGTGTGAGGCTTGCTCGGAATTCTCTCTCTCTCTCTCCCACCCTCCCTCTCTCTCTGGCCCTCCCCTGCTTTCTTTCTCTCAAAATAAATAAATAAGCTTAAAAAAAATCTTGGGGGAAAAAAAAGAACCATCTATGATATACCTAAGATAAAGCATGCCTATTCTACAAAAAATTAAGAAACTGTAAGGTTAGTTTTGATTATATATGATATTTACCTTAGGTCCTGATTTACAACTTAACCTCCTGTGCATTTTACTAAGTATAAACTATATCTCAATTATGGTACAGAGTTGTGGATTCACTATGTTGTACACCTGAAAGTAATGTCACATTGTGTGCCAACTACACTTCAATAAAAATTAAAATAATTGAATCTCAATTAAAAATAAAAACCAACCCTTTTCTGAAATGAAATTCTACTGTGCTAGTAATAACTATTCAATTCAATACTTGAAAAAAAATCTGAGACCAAGAACTTAGGGTTGGAATAATAATCAAAATTAAATACAGATTAAGAGGTGTCTCGTATTTCTGATTCTTTGGTGCACAGAATGTATTATTTTATCTTCTAAGAAAACTATTATTGCAACAGCATTAAAGAACACTGTAATATTTAATAATCAAATATTAAAGCTATTATGCTTTTAATGATACCTTCTAAAGCATGTATTAACACAACACAACTGATTAGCCAAAAATAAATGTTAATGCCTACAACCAAAGTAATACAAGTGGACATGAAGTAGTTTCCTTTCTTCATATTTACTATCTATGAAAAAGAAACTACCATTTAAAAGCTTAAAAACTACAAGGAAGTAGTACAGCAATTAAATCTTAGGTTAATAATATGCAATTTGCATTTAAATATAGAAATTTTAAAATTCAGGAATTTGGACTAAGCACAGTTAACACTTTCTCTCCAGGTTCTAAGTGATCTCCATGTACATCCTAGCATGCTACTCTAATTATGAACTGAGATATTTTAAAGTAATATTTGATGTTGTCTTTTTAAAAAATATTTACTTGTGAGAGAGAGAGAGAGAAAGTGCACGAGTGGGAAAGGGGCAGAGAAAGAAAGGGAGAGACAGAATCCCAAGCAGGCTCCACGCTCAGTGCAGAGCGTGATGTGGGGCTTGACCTCGCGACCAGGGCTCTGAGATCATAACTTCAGCCAAAATCAAGATTCGGATGCTCAACCTACTGAACCACTCAGGTGCCCCTGAAACATGTTTTTTATGAAAAATTATATTTCAGAAGTTTGTAAATAGATTTAAAAAATTTTAAGTTTGCTAGCTGGATCAGAGGGAATATACTTTTAAAAGTCATGACCCAGTAGCTACATGGATTTATAGATGCTGTAATTACCTAAACTTTCTACCTCATCTCCTCATTCCCACAAGACAAGCAATAAATGGAGCTAGTGGTAATATGGGCTTGGGGAAGGACTGTAACAACTCTTGCCTGGTAAAAATTCTCACACAGACAGATGCCTCATAAATGCTTTGATAATATAAGAGCCAGGCTACACTTCCTCTACAGAATTAAGTTTTTAACTTTTTAGTTTTTTCATTATTGTTTTAAAAGTTTATTTATTTTGACTGAGACAGAGTGCAAGTGGGACAGGGGCGGAGAGAGAGAGGCAGACAGAGGATCTGAAGCAGGCCCTGTGCTGAGGGCAGAGAGCCTGATGCAGGGCTTGAACTCAAGAATTGTGAGATCATGACTTGAGCCAAAGTCAGATGCTTAACCTACTGAGCCATCAAGGCACCCCAGTTTTTAACTTTTTTAAGTAGTGTTTTGTTTTTTTAAGTTTATTTAAGTAATCTCCACACCCAACATAGGGCTCAAACTAATAACCCCGAGATCAAGTGTCACATGCTCTTCCAACTAAGCCAGCCAGACATCCCTAAAAGGTGTTTTAAACTCAGTTTTCAAATGCCTAGTCTAGTGGTCCGCTCAGCACAGACCATACCTAAGACTGTCCCCCTCTCCCTCAGCCCCTCTCCCCATCCCCGCTCGCATTCACACTCTCTCTCTAAAATGAAAACATTCAAAATTAAAACAACATCTTTCACTTACCGCTGGGGTAGGAGTCTATCATTAGCCAGGTAGCCTGATTTATGAATCTCTTTATTATAATCTCCGTACTTGGCCTGGACAGCATAGGAAGCCAGAAGAACTGCAGTCTCTGGTGGACAATAGATCTCATCATTTAAGATGGCTTCCTTAACTTGCAGGAAGAAAAGTCTCTGGGTTATTTCTTGAATTAATTCCTCAGAAACATCTTCAGGAAAGAATTTAGCTCTAAATTTAAACTGTAAAGGATTCTCTTTTTTAACATCTTGCTGTGTCACCTGGAACAGTAAGTTCAAACATCATCAACAAAACCGTAAGTTCACATCAAATTCTCTTTTTGAAGAAAGATGTGAAGTATAAGATTCTAAATCCATAAGTAAGACTCTAGTGTATAAGTAAGATTCTAAACTTATAAGAAACTTATTCTTTAGATGTTTAAATCAAAATCAAAGCACTCAGTTACACCTAATATTATTTATTACATATTAAGTTTTCAAACAGGAAAATTGAACATTGCAGTTTTCTAAGATGATAAAATTCATGGTAACATTGAATTAAAAGACATGACACCTTTAATGACTCAGAAATGATTACAAAAGGAGGTCTGACGTGAGTCAGACACTGCGCTTTCCTGGTACAAATTCACGATCATGATAACTTCAAAATAACTTAATTATTAGCTCAATTTAATACATATTTTACCTTTTTATTTAGTTTAAGCCATGTAGAATAACCTTTGCTGTCCACATACTGCAGCCCAAAAAACCAGACCTCACGCAATCCAACTGTTTTCACCACCTTAAAAAGAAAGTTCAAATTCAGTTCAACATTCACAGTATAAGGAAATGATACTGTATTAAAAAAAAAAAACAAAAACCAAAACCAGAGGTGTTATAGGTATATTCCTCTGCTATAGAGGTCTTTCTTAAATTTCATACACTAATTAAAGGAACATTTCTGAAAACTTCAGGTTTTATGTATTACATTTTGTAACGTTATTTCCATTTTCTGTGATCCATTTTTTTAAACCTCTTTTTCTTTCTTATCTCCCATCATGACCCCAAGAGATAACAAGAAGTCCAGGAAATATATACAAAGCTGTCATAATCCCACTTGCCTATTTCAATTTATCTCCACAACCACACAAGTGGGCAGGCAAGGCAAACAGCATCATTATGGTGATGAGAGTCCCTAGGACAAGTAAAAGCCATACCTCCAGGTAATCCCGCTGGTGATTCCATGCCCCCTTCTACTATACTCTTCACCTACCATCAATATAAATATTCTATGTTCTCCCCTTCTGAACAAGACACCATTTTTGGAACATGCCCAAATTTTACCCTTCTCCAACTCTGCTCATGCTTCTTTTTTTTAAATTTCTGAGAGACAGTGGGACAGTGTGAGCAGGCAAGGGTCAAGAGAGAGAGGGAGACACAGAATCTGAAGCAGGCTCCAGGCTCTGAGCTAGCTGTCAGCGCAGAGCCCGACGCGGGGCGCAAAACCACGTACCGTGAGATCATGACCTGAGCTAAAGTCAGACGCTTAACCGACTGAGCCACCCAGGCGCCCCTCATGCTTCTTCTTCCACCTAGAATGTTTCTTCTGTACTTTTGCCACCTTCTAAATAATCTTTTCCTCAAGGCCCAGCTCTACTAACATGCCTTCTATGAATGAAGCTGTCCTATTATACAGATAAAATTAAATCACTTGTTCCTTAATGTTCCCACAGTACTTTATCTACTAGGACATTTATTCTATCTTATCATAAGTAACTGTATGACTAGTAGTGTGTCTATTTACCCCCCATTGTTTAAAACTAAGGACAGAGATCTTCCATTGTTTAAAACTAAGGACAGAGATTACTGCCTTATTCATCTTAATCATGTCATCCTAAAGAATTAGTAGCCTATGGAAGGCATTCAAAAGTATCAGAGTAAATAAAGTGGTAAGCTAGGGTCCACCAAATAATGTACCAACACTTATAAGGAAAAGATTATTTTTTAAAAAATCTATATTAAGATAAAGTGAGGGAAATGAGCCAGGAGAGGTGAGAGTTTATTAATATTTGAAAAGCTATAGAGAAAGATTCAACATTAGTTTTTATATGATAAATATTCTTGGCTTATTTTTTTAAAATATCAAAATACAGGGGTGCCTGGGTGGCTCAGCCGCTTAAGCGTCCGACTTCGGCTCAGGTCATGATCTCATGGTTTGTGACTTCGAGCCCCGCACTGGGCTCTCTGCTGACAGCTCAGAGCCTGGTGCCTGCTTCAGATTCTGTGTCTCCCTTGCTCTCTCTCCCTCCCCTGCTCATGTTCTCTTTTTCAAAAATAAATAAACATTAAAAAAATTTTTTTAAACATGTCAGGTTTTTAGACTTCAAGATAGCATACTGAACCCTTCAGTTAACTTCCCTTCTCTTGAAAAATTCACTAAAATTACACACAGCAAAAAAATGAAAAGAAAACATTTAGCTCTAGGGAAAGTTACTATCAAAAAAATAAAAATAGAAATTTCTGGATGATATGGGATATAAAGCCTCGCAATGATGCAAAAACTGATCAGTGCCAAGCAACCAAAACTTAAAACTAGACAAAGGAGATCCCAAATAATTTAACTTTGGCAAAAGACAGGTTGTCCCAGAAGAGCCAAAGAAAATATTCCAGCTCAGGACAGCAGAGTAAGAAACTTATATAGGTCAAAAGCAACAGGGAGAAATGTTTCAAAGTAGTTGCCTGAGTTGTGGCCATTAGGCTCTGTGTGATTCATGATGCTTGCTGAGGAAAGGGGATCCACCGCAGTGGGCACGGAGGGTAGCACCTTAACTAACTGGAGACGGTCAACAAACACCAAGAAGAGCAAGAGAGCTCGGCTGTGAAATTCTTTAAGAGGCCCTATCTCTTCAGTGCTTTTCCTACTACTTCTCAAAGGGTACTTAGAAACTTTCAGCCACATACTTTTATAAGTAAAAACATACTTGAGGAAGTGGTGTCTGAGTGGCTTAGTCAGCTAAACATCTGACTCTTGATTTGGGCTCACAGTTTGTGGGTTTAAGTGCTAAGGAGCCTGCTTGGGGTTCTCTCTCTCTCCCCCTCTCTCTGCCCTCCCCAACTCTGGCTCTCTTGCTCTTTCTCACTCTCTCAATAAATAAACTTAAAAAAAAATACTGAGCACTTAATCACAATATATGTATACTTATCTATGAATTATACACAAGTAATCACAGTAACACATTATAAAGCATATATTTTTAAACTAACTTGAAAAAGGACAAAAATATGAACAAACATTTTAATTTTTTTTTCTTGCATACTAAAGATCATGTTGAACGCTGCTTAGGAGTCTGAATACTCTCTAATCCCACAAATGAAGTTAGACACAAAGGACAATGTGGGAAGATCAGGCAGTAAACCCAAGGACCCCATGCGCTCGGTTAGAGCCCCCTACACACAGCAGCTGACCTCAAGCTCATCACAATCAGAAGTGACGCTTTGCTACAGTACAAATGGACTCGGGTTGCTATGGACCCTCGCTTGAGAGTACCCCTATCTCTAGTCTGCTCCTGGTCAGACCGTGAACCTACCTACCTGCCAACCCACTTCATATACTCACTATACTCAAGGTAAAGCCTGCTTTTAGATCCTAACATTTGGACTCAAGAGAAGCTGTCAGAAAACAATAGTGACACTGAGAAATAACTGCTGAGAAAGTACATTACATATAACAACACTCCTTACCTAGAACTTCATTTATACTAACAACTGTGTGTGTGTGTGTGTGTGTGTGTGTGTGTGTATGTGTGTGCGTGTATCAAATACTGTCCTATGTACTTTCCATAGATGGATTCTCACTTAACTCACAACAACCTCCTCAGGGAAGAAGAGTGCTATCCATCATCATCTTCATTGTACAAATGAAACAAATGAGGCAAAGCAAGTAAACTGTCCAGATCAAACAGCTAAAGCTAGGACTCTACTGCAGGCAGCGTGGCTCCAGAGCCCATACTCTTCAACTACCGCACAACAACGCACTGCAATAAAGGAGGTGTCCTTCCTCCCTGGTATCCAAACGAAAGCAACTCTACTTAATAAAAAACAAGTATTTTATTTCTCAGTACACAGTATCATAAAGGCCCACTTGCTGATTACTTTTTGACTAACACAAACACTGCACTCACTATGACATTTCAACTTGCTACAAAGTAAGTACAATAAATGCTAACTCCATTCACGTTTTTAAAAATGCTTATTTAGTTTGGAGGGGGAGGGGTGGAGAAGCAGAGAGAGAGAGAGGAAAAGAGAATCCCAAGCAGGCTCTGCACTAACAGCATAGGGCTTAATCCCAACAACTGTGAGATCCGGACATGAACTGAAATCAAGAGCTGAATGCTTAACCAACTGAATCATCCAGGCACCTCTCCATTCACATTTGTATTCAAGTAAGATAGGCTATAGATTCACAAACAGGAAGCCTAGAAGAATCAACAGAAAAGAATGCCATATTAGTCCATAAGGTAAAATGTGTATAAGGTATGGTGCATGTAGCTGCTTATGATTTTGCTTTAAGAATTTGCTCACTCATACAAAATAACCTTTCATCTTACAAAAAGACCTTATCACGGCTTTCCAGATCATCAATTACCTAGTCAGGAAGATTAACTATATTTTGTCAGGAAAAGAAACAACTTTCCGGGAATTTTTAAATTTTATATCATATTTTAGATTAGCATGTGATAAAATGCTACATAATAAAACCAAATATCTATTAGGTTACTTACTGCTGTACATTAGAAATTCTGTCTCCTGTTCTGTTCACTAAGTTCAAGAAGTCTAACCACAGACCACTGCTCTCTGGCTCAGATGTAAAAGTTCATGTAAACATTCTTCCCTGAGCCTCATGCCCTGCAAAATCTATCACCTTCCTCCCTTTTGCAATCAAGTCACCTTCCTAACCACTTGGCCTCTGGGTACCAATCTCTGTCCTCCCCTTCCCAATAAAACATCAGTAATAACATCATACTGCACCACCTGGGGAACTTGAGTTTCATGCTCTACCCACTGAGCTAGCTGGGCACACCTGGGGAGCTTAAAAAAAAAAAAAAAACTAGTGATTTACAGTAGGCCCCAGACAATTAAATCTGAATCTTTGGAAAAGGTTTTCGAGCATTGCTTTTTCTTTTTTTAAAGCTCCATCAGTGGCTCAAATCTGCATTCAAGAGTGAGAAAAAAAGACAAGACCCGTAGTCCACATTCCTTAATGTGACACCCATGTTCACTTATGAGGCTATGGCACCAAACAGCTGCAGGTACCTCCTTACAGCCTTGAGCTCCCCGTGTCCCTGACCTCCCCTCTGTCTAGGATCTCCACCCACCTCACTGTGCACAGGGTCTTTCACTTCTTTTTTGTCCTCATTACAACACTTCACATAGCAGACGTTAAAGAAATACCTTCTAAATGCTGTTGGGAAAACTGGCCAGAGACATGCAAAAGAATGTACCTGGACCACTTTCTTACACCATACACAAAAATAAACTCAAAGTGGATGTAAGACAGGAAACCACCAAAATCCTGAGAAGAAAAGAGGCAGCAACCTCTCTGACCTCAGCCACAGCAACTTCTTAATTGACATATCTCCAGAGGTAAGGGAAACAAAAGCAAAAATGAACTACTGGGACCTCATCAAGATAAAAAACTTCTGCACAGCAAAAGAAACTGTCAGCAAAACTAAAAGCTAAAAGGCAGCATACGGAATGGGAGAAGATATCTGCAAATGACATATCTGATAAAGGGTTGGAGAACTCCAAACTCAACACCCAAAAAACAAATAATCCCAAAGAGAAATGGGCAGAAGATATGAACAGACACTTTTCCAAAAAAGACATCCAGATGGCTAACAAGACACATGAAAAGATACTCATCAGAGAAATACAAATCAAAACCACACCGAGATACCACCTCACACCTGTCATAATGGCTAACATTAACAACTCAGGAAATAAGAGATGTTGGTGAGGATGCAGAGAAAGGGGAACCCTCTTGCACTGCTACTGGGAATGCAAACGGGTACAGTTGCTCTGGAAAACAGTATGGAGGTTCCTCAAAAAATTAAAAATGGAATCACCCTACAATCCAGCAATGGGACTTTTAGGTACTTACCCAAAGGATAAAAAAAATGCTGATTTGAGGGGGTACATGCACCCCAATGTTTACAGCAGCACTATCAACAATAGCCAAAGTAAGGAAAGAGCCCAAATGTCTATCAATTGATGAATGGATACAGAAGATGTGATGTATTATTCAATGATCAAAAATGATGAAATCTTGTCATCTGCAACAAAGCGGATAGAACTAGAGTGTACTGTGCTAGATGAAATAAGTCAGAGAAAGATAAATACTGTATGACTTCACTCGTGGAATTTTAGAAACAAAACAGATGAACAAGAGAAAGGGGGAAAAAAGAGGTAAGCAAACCATAAGAGCCTCTTACCTACAGAGAACAAGCTGAGGGCTGCTGGTGGCAGGGAGGTGGGGGATGGGTAAAGTAGATGATGAGTATTAAGGAGGGCACTTGTGATGAGCACTGGGCGTTATATTTAAGTAACGAATTACTAAATTCTACTCCTAAAACTTATACTTTATGTTAACTAAGATTTAAACAAACAAAAACATACAAACAGGAAAAAAAAAACACATCTAATAATTATTTTTAAAAAGTCTTCTCTCTCAAACCCAGGAATGAGAAACAACCGGTCTCTACAGTTGTGCCAGATATCTGGAATAGGTACTGTGAAAAATTCCAAGGGCCACATTGTTGCAATAACAGTAAAATTACACAAAAACATACAAAGAAGTTGCAACAGAGTCCAGGCTATACTGTCAAAAGTGGCCTACATCATGTGGCCCCATGATACCTGGTCAAAAAGCTGCTTGCCAGTCGTATTGGGCTGAATGGCAAACTCCAGCTCAGCATCCATGGTGGTCACGCGTACATTGATCTGCAGAAAAAAAAGAAGGGAAAATCATTAGGAAAGAGAATGTATTTTTTAAGTATTAAACATGAGGAAACATTCTCATTTGATTTATAAAATAAAACATAATGTGCAGGCAATAAAGAACTACTCCATATCTATACCTAGTATTCTCTTTATTAAAGTGATAAAGTTTGATTTTAGTTAGGAAATCTAAAATCTATTTGAAAAAGAGCTTACAAAGTCCTCTTTTAAAAACATTTATTGGGGCACCTGGGTGGCTTAGTCGGTTAAGCGTCCGACTTTCCTTTCGGTCATGATCTCACGGTTTGTGGGTTCAAGCCCTGTGTCGGGCTCTGTGCTGCCAGCTCAGAGCCTGGAACCTGTTTCAAATTCTGTGTCTCCCTCTCTCTCTGACACTCCCCTGCTCACGCTGTCTCTCTCTCTCCCTCCTAGAAATAAATAAAACATTAAAAATTTTTAAAAAAAATTATTGTGTGCTTAGCATACATACTAGGCACTAGGCCATGAGCTTTCCATATTCTCATTTAGCCCCTGCAACAATACTGGGAAATACATTAATTTCTATAGAAACTAAAAGAGCTCCCATTACTTGCCCAAGGACACAGGGATACCCAGCAGCAGAGGAGGTATTTCAATTGACCATAACTCCAAATTCTTGGAATGTCATTCACTATCCCGTCTTTCAACACAAAATTCAGATAATATTCATTTATTTATTTTACAGTATTTATTCTATATCCTATAGTATATATTCTATAGTATTTATTTTATAGTATTTGTTTATTCTGCAAATATATTCACTTTATAAAGAGCACTCTGATTGACCTTTATTTGTTAGACTCTATCCTAAATTCTTTTGTATAAATACCTTTCTAACTGGATATCCTCACCAAAATCTTCACATGCCTTAACAAAAATAATTTTAATTCCAGAGTATCATCGTCACTAAGAGTTTACTATCATGTGGCACAATCTATGTTTTTAACTCATACTATTACAACTCTAAATGTGACTTATTTCCTCTTTATATTTTGTACTTATTCTAATAATATACCTCTGCATATGTAACTTTTATCTGAAATATCTTCTCTAATCAAATAAACCTTACAAGTCTATCCTTTAAATAATGCCTATTAGGAAATGTTGATACACATATACACGTAGCATACATACACGATGAAGCATAACAACATAAAACCTATTGGGATATAATATATATTTGGTCTTCATTCTGTTTCCTGGCAGAGAGCTCCTAAAACCCCTGGAATTTCCAAAGTGACAGAAGTGAGGGGAGCATTTTTTTTTTTACTCATAATATGTCCCCTTCAACCATACCTGAGTTTATGTTAATGAAGTGACTCCAGATGGGCCCCTACACACCTTCATGGTGGGGGCTGGTAACCAGAAGAATCAAACATGTGATTAGTTAATTTGCTCCCCGAAGACAACTATGAAACAGATCAAATATCTACAGGTCTGGGGTCTGAATCTGCATGCTCTATTCAGTTGCACTGGCTGATGTACTAGTATGTCAAAACCATACTGTTTTATTACTACATCTTTCAATAAGTCTTACTATCTGGTAGGAAAAATCTCCCCCCCTTATCTTCAAGACATCTTGGCTATTCTTGGCTCTTTTTTCTTGTTTCTGACTTCACACAAAATCCTAAATTTTCAAAATACCCCACTATGGTTTAAAATGGAACTACACTAACTTCATCAGTCTTCTGAGGTAAGAAATAACATCTTCTCAATACTGACTCTTCCTATCCATGACTGTGGTTCTCTCTGTGCATTCATTTAACTCTTCTTTAAAATCTTACAAAAAATGTTCCTAATTTTCTCCCTAAAAACCCTATTAATCGGGGTACCTGGCTGGCTGGCTCAGTGGAGTGTGCGACTCTTGATCTCAAGGTTATAAGTTCAAGCTCCCTCTTACTCCTACTGGGTGTACAGATTACTTTAAAAAATAAAATATTTAAAAAAAATCTTATTAATCATTTGTTAGAGATCTTTCCCATAAATCGCTATGATTTTGTCACTACTATAAATACAGGTCCACCATCCATTGATATCCCAAAGGCGTTGAAAACAAGTTTTAGATAATTTCTAGCAAAACCTTAACACGAAGTGATGGGAGACTAGCTGGTGAATTTATTTATCCCATTTCAAATGAATATTCTCACAGTGACATATAAAAACATTAAAGTTTTCATTAAAAAAAATGAAAAAAAAAAAGGGGGGCGCCTGGGTGGCTTAGTCGGTTAAGCGTCTGACTTTCGCTTAGGTCATGATCTCGCGGTTCATGGGTTCGAGCCCCGCGTCGGGCTCTGTGCTGACTGCCAGCTCAGAGCCTGGAGCCTGTTTCGGTCTGTGACTCCCTCTCTCTCTGACCCTCCCCTGCTCACGCTGTCTCTCTCTCTCCTAGAAATAAATAAAACATTAAAAAAAACTTAAAAAAAAAACACCACAAAAAAACATTAAAGTTTTTAAGGTGATATACCAGACCTTGAGGGAAGCTTCATGACAGGACACAGACACATAATGAAGTATATATTCACCTTTCCAAAATCCAAAAAATTCCAAATAATGAAACTAATGTAACTTAAAGAGTTTCAAATAAAGATTGTGAATTTGAGGAAATATTTTCACAGAACATAATTGTTCTTCTGCTTTTGCAGAAATGCAACTCATTTCTATACTGATCATTTTATCAGGGGTTTCCCTAATTGTTATAACAGGGCTGTAAATTTCTGTGTTTACATAAATCAGGGTTCAAATTGGAATCCCTCTCTCCCAGCCCCTCCCCTACTTGTGTGCACGCGAGCTCTCTCTAGCTCTCTCTCAAAACAAACATTTAAAAATATACATATATAGGTCTATATATACAGGTCTGTAGAACTGTGACTTGACCAAGTTTACATATCTACTAAGTATAAAACTAAGCCAAGAGATCAGTGGAAAACACAGAAATCAAATTAACATACAATTTATATCTACCTGCACATATAATTTTGAGTCCTTACTCTAAGGAATAATACATAAATGTTTTCCATTCAATTACAGTTTCATTCTTCTAAAGTAACTATAAACTTTCATATTCCTATCAGAAATATCAGAGTTCCACAGTTGCCCCCCATTCTTACCAATGCTTGATATTATCAATCTCTAATTTTAGCCCTGTAAGTGCTATAAAGTGCTATCTCACTGTAGTTTTGTGTTCCCTATAACTAAAGACACTGAGGATCTTTTCATGTGTCTGTAATATATGTTCTTTTGTGAAGCATCTATTCAAAGTTTTTGCCCATTTTTTAGAAACTGGGTTGTCTTATGGAGTTCTAGAAGAATTTTATATTCAATTACTTTCTCCCATTCTGTTTCATTTTTTCATTTTCTCATTGCTGTCTTTCAAAGGACAAAAGGTTTTAATTTTGATGAAATCCAATGTTTTTTTAAATGGTTCAAACTTTCAAAACAAAATACAAAATAAATGGCTAAAACTTCCTGTATATTATCTAAGAAACTTTGCTATCCCTGGGTCACAAAAATGTCTTCTTCTAGCAGTTTTACAGTTTGTGTTTTTGTACTTAGGTCTATAATCCACTTGGGATTAATTCGGTGTGTAAACTGAGATAAGGGCCACTTTTTCCAACACCATTTGTTGGAGAGAATTTTATTTCCCCAGTGAATTGTGTGAAAATCTTATAAAAAATCTAAGGGATGCATATGTGTAGTTTCATTTTTGTTTCACTTATTCTATTATCTATCCTTTTACCAACACCACAGTGTTATTTTTGTAGCCTGTGAATAGGTCTTAAGATACACAAGTCTAAGTTTTCCAACTATTTTCTGTTTAAAAACTGTTTTAGCTACTCCATGTAAATGCTGGCAGTTCTACAGACATCTTACAATTAGATAATCAATGTTAGCCAAAGAAGCTCACTGGGATTTAAGTGATGGAATTGCATTCATTCTACCATTACATCTGGGTAGAAGTGACACCTTAATAGTATTTTCTAGACATATCTATGAACATTACAGAATATTACTCCATACATTTAGATCTTTAATTTCCCACAAGCTTTCACTGTAGAGATCTCGTACAGCTTCTGTAAATTTATTCTGAAGTATTTTATATCTTTGATGGTGTTACAAATTAGATTTTTTTACTTCATTTTTCAAATATTATGCAAGGATATAAGAAAGACTAGTGATTTTTAAAAGTATAACCATGTGTCCAACAATCTTGCTAAGTTATTAGTTCTAGTAGTGGGCTTTTAGATTCCTGAAGACTTTCTACATAAACAATAATGTCATCGGCATCTCCAGCAGTGCAAATGCACTTTGTTACCTACCTGCTGAGTCTTTAAAGTAATTCCAAAGAGATTTTCATGCCAGAAAACTCAAATAGTTATAACCAATGACTTTCTTAAAAAGATAAGTGGCCAAAAGAAACAGTGAAAAACACCTCAATTTTGTTAGATGAAGCAAAAACATTTATCCCAAGAAAAAAGGAATAAATCTTAGTCAAAAACTATATAATTATACAAATATGTAAAATCAGTTTTTTTATCACAAATAAAATAGTTTTTAACATAAAATCATATGTAGTTTTTTAATAATAAATAAAAAACCCTAAGACCATACAATATCAGCATCACTAGCATCAAAGCTAGAACTATGAGAAAATAAACGCATGGATCTTTCCAACCTCTCATTACCTCCTCCTGCTTAACAAGAAATTACTATTTACTGAACACTGAATGTGTTCCAAGTTCTTATAATTCTCACCAAGTTCCCTTAAGTAACTAATTACATCTCCATTTTTTATATGAGGAAATTAAGAACTGGAGAGTCTGAAGTAATCTCACCAAGGTTACAAAGGGTAAGCAGTAGAGCCGGGACACAAGCTAAGGCGGTGTGGCTCCAGAACCCATGAAATCTTACCCACAGTGTTGTCGGCCCTACTTCACTGGCTTAAATAGTACGTACTACATTCCAGCCACATTAATCTAAAGCCAGCCATGAGCCGCAGGATCAGTGCCTTTTTCTCCTCCAGCGACTTGACCATAATATTTTGCCTTGCTCCAAAAAGGACTTAATGTTACTGATGTTTTATTAAACAGGCAGTCATAAAAGTAGTGGTAAAAATACACTTACTGGTTTCGGCATTTTCCTTCTCTTTTTGTCACCTTCTTTAAAAATTCACTTTGATGAATTCTGTTGTCACCTTCAGTTAAAGAAAAAAGAAAGCAAAATGGATCTATTACTTTCCACATTCTCCAAAAATATTTACAGCTGTGATTTAAAATAGCACACATCTTGGGGTGCCTGGGTGGCTCAGTTGGTTAAGCGTCCCACTTGGGCTCAGGTCATGATCTCACAGTTCATGGGTTCAAGTCCTGCATCGGGCTCTGTGCTGACAGCTCAGAGCCTGGAGCCTGTTTCACATTCTGTATCTCCCTCTCTGTCTGATCCTCCCCTGCTCACACTGTCTCTCTCTCTCTCTCAGAAATAAATAAAACATTAAAAAAAATTTTTAAATAGCACATATCTCAAACAACATCATATAAAGCATACTGATCACCAACTCAAAGTTTTAATTAAGTTATAGACAACATATAGCAAGGAAGCAAGACTGCTAAGGACCCAAATACAGTCTCTGTCTGAATCAGGTTTACCTCTATACTCAGCCTGGAAGGGAAAGGGACATAGTAAAGGGGAAGATACAGATTCAAATTCTAAAGAGATGAACTGATCTTTTTTCCTGTATGCCAAAGACAAAAGGAATTTCTGAATAATGTAAACTCTAAAAAGGTAACATTTAAAGAAAATTATTTTCTCTTGGAAGTTGAAAAACCCAGGTAGAGAAAATTCTATCAAGTAGGTTATTCAGCCAAGGTGTATTAAACAGTCATGGCTATACACTAGCAATCTGCACGCTACTCACAAGTAAGCTGGTGACCTTCGCTGAAATTTAGAGTTGTCCTGAAGACCAATGTTAAACTGTATCTTCTCCCTGTAAAGCAAAAGTGAATGCTAATCCAAGAAAACCATCATGTTATACTGTCTTAGGGTAAATATTCTTAAAAACATCCAACCAACCAACCAAAAGATCTAATATTCTTAATATTAGTCCAGAAGAAAATGATTATTCCAATTTGAAGAGCCACAGTGAAACACATCAGATAATTATCTGAAAATCAGCTTCCCCTGATAATCCCTCTGCTGAGAAAATTTATCCATTATACCAGCATCAATTAAACATACAATTTTCTTTTAAAATTACAGTATTAATAGCTTTTAGGATGCTATAATTAATGAAGCAGAAAACTGTCCAAATCGGGAAAAAAATGAAACATCAAACTCATTTCCCTAAATTTTACTCAACCATGTGTCAATAAATCTCTCTTTCAAAGGAACTTATCTGTCTCTCTAGAACTTGCCGAACTTGCCTTGCTCAAAGTCTAAAGGTTATCTTAAATGTAACATGGCCAAAACATTTAAATCTCTACCCCATAGCCAAATCTGATTTTTTCCAAGTCTCAGTGACACACTTCTCAAAAGTTATAATATTCTTTCATGATTTCTTTATATCTACTACATTGACAGTTAAGATCCTCTTTTCATTCCTAATACTGTTAAATTTTACCTTCCCTTTTGCTTGATCAATCTTGCCAGAAGTCTGCTTAGTTTATGTCTAAAGGTCAGCTTTCAGCATTGTTGATTTTGTTTATTGTTCTTTTTTTTGTTAATTTATGTCTTTTTCCTCATAATTTTTCTTCTCATTAGCTGGTTTTACTCTGTGGCTCATTTTCTAATTCCTAAAATTAAAACTTTATGTAATTCCAAATATTTTTTTCTTTTCTAGTATGTACATTAAGGGCATAAAATAAATATGCCCAAGTATAAGATAACTCCAAGTATAAAGTATCCCCTTATTTTGTCATTGAGAATATTTAAAAATAATTCTTATCACCTGGATATGTAAGATAATCAAATATGTATTTATAACATTAGTATAAATATTAAAAACACAGGATCTATAAAGCTGAAAAAGTTTGCTTCATCTCTTCACAGAACATAGAATTTCCTTAAACTCCTTACACAAATGAGACATGAATGTCTTTATCACAACTTTTTGAATAATAGCAAGTTTTCCAGATTACACTTTTTGAATCAGTATATAATATTACCATTAAAATATTTATCCCAAGCTACACTATCAGTTAATGTGAAACATTAGGACTTTCTTTCCTGTTTGTACTGTTGGAATATTTTAATATCTACAGTGTAACCACTGTATCATTTAAAAAAAAAACAGGTTTGTTCTAGATTTACCTCTTTTTTAATGTTTAAGCCATTTACTAAATGGGCTCTGTGAGTGCTCCAAACTCACATGTACTGAAGGCATTTAAGGTCAATGTGTCTGTCTTAAATAGTATTTCTAAGACCAAGAAAAAGAACAAAGCAGTGAGAAAGTTCCTAAGAGCATAAATATAAATCTCCTTTCCTGGGAAATCTATTTTTTTAAAATGTCTTGGCTTATATTTAAAACCATACCATTTCTCTAAGCATCACTTCAGTGGTTTCCCACATAGGTTTGGTTTTTTAAATTTTTTTAATGTTTATTTTTGAGGGAGAGAGAGAGAGAGTACGAGCAGGGGAGAAGCAGAGAGAGAGCAAGACACAGAATCCGAGAGCCAGACACGGGTCTTGAACTCATGAACCTTCAGAAGATGACCTGGGTGGAAGGAGGTTAACGCTTAACCAACTGAGCCACCCAGGCACCCCACCCACACAGGTTTTTACATGCAGTTCTTTCATTGGCGCTACGTGTTTCCCTTTCCAATTCCAGAGTCTAATTGTGACTAAGATTTTTTTTTTAATTTTCAAATGAAATGATTAGAGGTCTGTGTATAGAATTCATGAAGACTTCTTCATGTTTAATACTCAACCTAATTTCACTTCTGTTCTGGCTACAAATGACAATAATGCATGTTTTGCATTCGGTAAGTCAGATAAAGCCAAACCAAGTATTTAGTGTTTTGTTTGTAGTCTCCCTACTGTTGCTCATTTTAGTGTACTTAATCAGCTTGAGGAAAAAATGTATTAAATTTTCCGAAGTATACTTGTGGATGTTAATTTAATTTCTTCTTATAAATTCTATATTCTTTTAGGGTATGCTAGTAGAAGAGCATAGGTTTAGAACTGTTGTATGTTTTTCCAGTGAATACTTCCTTTTTCATTCAGTAATACTTTAATTACATGTAGAATTTTTTCTAAGTTTATTCACTTAGAGAGGGAGAGGAGGGGGCAAAGAGAGAGGGGGGAGAGAGAATTCCAAGAAGGCTCTGCACTGTCAGTGCAGACCAGATGCAGGGCTCAAACTCATGAACCATGACACCATGACCTGAGCCAAAACCAAGAGCCAGATGCTTAACCGACTGAGCCACCCAGGCGCCTTGAGACGCTTCTACCTGCATGTAGTTCTAAACTGTTACTCCCTCAAGCCTTTGCTATATATTATTTTTCTGGCATCTGTTACTACTAATGAGAAGTCTACTGTTAATCTAACTCATTTCTCTGAAATAATCTGCCTTTTCTCCTTTCCTTTAAGGAAATTATTTGGGGGGTGTTCTTTAGATTTGCTTTTATTTATTTTGTTCACGATTTGGTAAGCTCCTTTATTCTGGAAAAATCATTAGCTACTGTCTCACTCATTCTCTTTTCAATCAGCAATTCTCACTAGACACACACCACATATTCTATTCTCTACTCCATACTCATTCACATTTTCCATCTCTTTATCTCTCTGTGCAACATTCCTCCAATCACTAAATTCTCTTCCATTGTTTTTATGTTTTACCTCTTCAATAGTTTAGCATTTCAGTAATTATATATTATTCCCAGAAGTTCTTTTTCAGCTTTGTAAAAAAATTTTTTTAATAATACCATGTTATTTTGCAATTTGTTTTAAATCTTCCATTTATCCTTATGTTATTTTTTGTCACTATAAAATTACTCTACTTTCAATTCATTATGGTTTATTTCTTTACAACTTGTAAAGAAATTGTTGTGGACAGAAAGCTCATGTCCCTAACCCACTTCCCCTGAGTTATGTGTATATATTCATATAGAGGTATTTCAGGCTTGCTCCTACCAGAATATCAGGAATTTTATTGTCCTAGGACTAATGCTTACATTAATTTCTTGACTCTGTATTCCATACACCATACCAGACCTTGAAAGCCACATGCTGGAGAAGCCAGGAGACACTGAGGAGAGCTTCCACACAGACTGATGTTATTTACGAACCCAAACAGCTGTGGTGCCCCTTCTATGCAATCTCTCATCAGGAAGGAAGAACCAGGGAAAGAACTGAGCGTTAATTATATGCCAGGCTGTATAAACTAAGTTAAAGCACCAAAATTATAGAAAAAGTAGTTACCAAACACAAGGTCAGCTGGGCAGGTAAATAAACACCAAGCATGTAGGTTTACAGATATTCTGAAGTTATATATTAACCTAAGACTTGAATGAAATAAAGGTAGGTTTTTTCCTTTTCCTATAAAAATAATTAATCCAAGCTTTCAATACTAGAGTTACTTCAAGTTATACTCTAGAAAAAGGATCCTTCAAGGAAAAAAGTCTGTATTAAAGTTTTAGGTTTACTAAGGAGCTCTGACATGAAAGAATAAACGGATCATAGACCAACATTCACAAAAGCAGGTTTTTACACAAGCTAAGTTTTTAAAAGCTCCATCAAACTAACTCATCTATATGAATGAACTGTGGGGATTGGGGAGCCTAACAAAAGCATCTGCAAATAAAGATATGGTTGACTTCTAAAAGAAGCTTCTAAAAATCCATGTTTTCAGACCAGTATTTCTCTCTTAAAAAGCAAGTTAGTCTCCACCTTGTTTTATTTCAGTGAATTATTAATCATCTGAGAAAAGTAATAAGTTCTACCTCTTTATTTACCAACTGAACATAGAATGATTACTCAACAATGCCTTGTATTGAAAGAAAACTCCATAGGGGCACCTAGGTGGCTCAGTTGGTTAAGTGTCCGATCTCACGGTTTAGGAGTTCCAGACCAGCAGTGGGTGCTGTGCTGACAGCTCAGAGCCTGGAGCCTGCTTCTGATTCTGTGTGTATCTTTCTCTCTCTCTCTGGCTCTCCCCAGCTCAAACTCTGTCTCTCTCTCTCCCAAAAATAAACATTTTAAAAAATTTAAAAAATACTTCATAGTTGTGTGTTCTTATACATTAATTTTCTACTAACAAAAAACTGAGGAGACAAGACAGGCCATTTTATGGTTCCTTAGTTGAAGAAACAAGGGTCAATTGAACGAAAATATCTTGTTCTTAGTCACACAAGTAATCAATGGCCAAATGGTCTTTTGACACCTACCCTAAAGTCTAGAGCTGTACCATATACCCACCTGACTTCCACTTTTTGATATTAAAAAAGTGCAAAATAATTTCACTTGTGGAAATTTACCCAAAGAAAATAATAACACATAGGTACAATAGCATAACTACAAAGATTCTAGTTACAGTGCTATTTATAAAAGTGTATGTAATACTCAGACATTAGTTAAGTGAATCATGGTACATCCATAGGCTCTGCCAGACCTAAATGCAACTAATCAAAATGTCAGAGAAAAGGGTGCCTGGGTAGCTCAGTCAGTTAAGTATTCAACTTTGGCTTCGGTCATGATTTCACCATTCATGAGTTTGAGCCCCGTGTCAGGCTATGTGCTTACAGCTCGGAGCCTGGAGCCTGCTTCAGATTCTGTGTCTCCCCCCTCACTACCCCTTCCCCATTCTCTCTTTCTCAAAAATAAACAAACATTAAAAAATGTTATAGAAAAATATTAAATAACATGGCAAAATATCCACAAATTATTAAAAAGGTAGGTTACAAAACCATACATAAATTATCATATGAAAAGACCAATATGATTATACTCCAAAATATCGAGTCCCTGTGAATTAAGGTGAATTTGTAAAC